AGCAACGCCAGGCTATGGCATTCTGTGCAGAAGTAGAAGAATCATTTTCAATAAAGCCAAAGTTGGTAAAACGTTAAACTTGTTGAAAGAATCTTTAACAAAAAAGTTTACTTTTGAGGGTGGGCATGGACTATAAGGGGTCACTGGGAGAAAAAAAGGGGACATATGTAATACTTTCAACAACAAAGATTTTTAAAGAAGACTGAATGATTATGTTGAAATTAAAAGGAAGGGTGCTGCCTGGCTGGTGTGGTTCAGAGGTTTGAGTGTCGACCTATGAACCAGGTCACTGTTCAATTCCTGGTCAGGGCACATACCTGGGTTGCGGACTCGATCCCCACTGTGGGGCCTGCGGGAGGCAGCCGATCACTAAGTGGCTCTCATCATTGATGTTTCTATCTCTTCCTCTCCCTTCCTATCTGAAATCAATATACTTTTTAAAAACTTTTAACAAATGGAGGTAGCAAGCTGGATTTGTCCCAAGGGCCCAAATTTTGTTCACCCCTATCCTAGGGAGTCAGGCCCTTGGAGTTCTAATCTAATATGACCCTGCAGTCATCCTAGACATGCCCACGGAAAGAACCCCAAATAACCTGAGCTGCCTTTCTCGGCCAGAGGCCTCCATCTAGTCCTGGCGCTGCCTGGCACCCGTGGCCAGGTGTAACGAAGCGCACTGCCTGCACTCCCCTTGGGGAAGCCTTAACCTGAGGAATGGGGCCCGGGTGGAGGAACTGAGTTGAATTCAGCTGCAGGCTACCTGTCACATTTACCTTTTCCTCAGAGATATCAACTTGTTCTCACTTTAAAGGCTTTGAGGGTTATATGGCTTGTGTGTTAAGATATTTACCACTAGTCAAAACTTTCAAGTGTCAAGCAATTTCATTATTACACACACACCAAAAAAAAATTTAGACACATATAGTTAGTGCAAGGGACTAATGCATTTAATATTAAATGTAACATGTTGCGTTTTTCCAAATACATTTCTTGCCTAACAAAAATGGAGGTATAGCTCCCTCAGAAGAAAGGACAATCCTTGTGCTAATTTTGTTGCATGTGATGTTATCCTTGCAACAGTACACTTATTAGCATTCATAATCCATATCTTTGATTTTTACCAAAACAAAACACACACACACACACACACACACACACATACTTGTGTGCCTTTAAAGTCCTGTAGTATGATGGCATTAAAATTCAAAACATTTTATGAAGAAAAAAAGTCTTATTTCAGTGCACCCATAGTTCTTGGGTTCTCACTGGGAAGCTGCAAGATGTCCTTGAATAAGATCCTGGACACGGGACAGAATAATCTCATTAGAACTGCTGCAATTTTCTGGACCATATGGTGGGTCTATAGTCAGGACCCCAGCCACACACAGAGTCCTTGGTGAATCTCCCTGTTCAGTGACCGGGATGTGGTTCTTTTCGAGCCATTTCTTTAGGCTGTTCTTTCTCTTTTCCAGATCCTCAAGGTTGTGTGCCTGACAGTCTCCAGATGTGAACAGATGCATCAGCTTCTCTCTTACCCCTTGGTCCCCTTCATTCACAGTTTCAACAGTCTGCACGGCATGTCCCATAATTCCGGTCACAGACATACTGCCATCTTCAAGGAAGTTCACAAGGACAATACTTTGGAGAAAAAGTAAGTTCAGAGATTTGCAAAAGAAAAACCTAAAGGCCCATAAAACTATGGAAGAAGCAATGCAATAAGAGGCATTAACCCCAGCAAGTCATTAGAACAATAGGGAATGTTCTTCCCTGTTTAAAAGTAATCCTCTCACCACCAGATGTTTTCACTTGTTCAGTAAGCATTCATTGAGGGTCCTAAACATCTAAACTTTTTGTCCAGCCTAAAGCACTCTGTGAAAGGCAGTGAAAGCATCACTTAAAGAATTGTAAATGCCTTAAATGTGTACTTAAAAGAATCGAGGGTACAGACTTAACTTTTAGAGTTAAAAATAAATTGAATACTCCCCTTCAAAGCAGACCAAAGAAAATATCAAAGCACAAAATTAATAAAACGAGTCAGTAAGAGGATGAAAGCCAAAAATTGGTTCTTTTTTCCCCCTCACCCAAGGACATTTTTCCATTGAATTTTAGAGAGTGGAAGAGAGGGAGGGAAGAGAAACATCAATGTGAGAGAGACACATGGATTGGTTGCCTCCTGCATTGGGGTTGAAGCCTCCAACCAAGGCACATGCCCTTGACCGGAATCGAACCCGGAGCCCTTCAGTCCACAGTCCAATGCTCTATCCAGTAAGCCAAACCAGCTAGGGCCAAAAATTGGTTCTTTAAAACAAATTCACAAAACTCAGCAAGATTAATAACAAAAAATAAAGAAGGCCCTGGCCAGGTAGCTCACTTGATTAGAGCGTTGTCCTGATACACCAAGGCCGAGGGTTCACTCTCTGGTTAGGGCACATACAAGCAATCAATAAATGCATAAATAAGTGGAACAATAAATCAATGTTTCTCTCTTCCTTTCTCTTTCTCTACAAACAATTTTTAAAAAATTAAAGAAGATACATATAAATCATATTAGGAATAAAGCATTATAAAATATTGACAAATTTATGCTAATTTAAACTTAAAACAAAACTTTCTGGAAAATATGTTTCTACTATTGACTCAAAAAAAAAAGAGAGAGTGTAAGTAGTCCTATAATCTTAAAATAAAAACTAAATAACTAGTTTAACCCAACCAGTGTGGCTTAGTTGGTTGAGCATCATCCCATGCACGAGATCACAGGTTCGATTCCTAGTCAGGGCACATGCCCAGGTTTTGGGCTTGATCCCCAGTAGGGGGCATGCAGGAGGCAGCTGATAATACATTTCTCTCTCTCCCTCTCTCTCTCAAATCAAATCAGTAAAAATTAATAAACTACATCCTAATAATGCAATAAGCTCAACCCAGAATGTGTTCAATTCTATCAAATACTCCCTTTCTTCAACAAATAAGAGACAGGAAAACTAAAAAGAGAAACTGCACACTTATAGATTAAGATACTTAAGAGACAGCCATACCCAGTTTGGCTCAGTGGATAGAGCGTTAGCTTGTGGACCGAAGGGTCCCAGGTTCGATTCCAATCAAGAGCACATGCCTGGGTTGCCGACTTGGTCCAACGTGCAGGAGGCAGCCAATCAATGATTCCCTCTCATCATTGATGTTTCTATCTATCTCTCCCTCTCCCTTCCTCTCTGAAATCAATAAAAATATATTTTTTTTAAAAAAAGATACTTAAGAGACATACCAACCAATATAAAGATACTTTGAAGACAAGTGAACCTGAACTCAGAGGATTTAGCTAATATTAAAATTATTATTACTGTTCTTAAGTGTTATAATATGTGCTTACATTTATTAGAGTCCCTATCTACTAAGAGATATTGAAGTACTTTTGAACAAAATTTATATGCCTACAATTGGCTTTAAAATACATGGAAGGAGGTGTAAGGTTAGTGTGTGTTATACCATGCTCTTTATATTTTGTGTTATGTCTAAAATTTTACAATAAAATGTAGTAAGAAAAGAAATGTCTCCCCCATTGGCGTGGCTCAGTAGTTGAGCCTCCACCTATGAACCAGGAGGTCACTGATCCTCGGTCAGGGCACATGCCCAGGGTTGCAGGCTCGATCCCGTGTGGGGCATGCAGGAGGCAATGATCAATGATTCTCTCATCATTGATGTTTCTCTGTACCTCTCCCTTCTTCTCTGAAATCAATAAAATATACATTTTTTAAAATGTCTCATTTCTACTAACTTGGTTGGTCTGACAAGGTAATCCATAGGTAGAGCTGCACTTAAGATTCAAAGACAATGAAATTCTTATATGGGAATAACTAGCCTTTCATTATCTGCTTTCGGAGTTTGTATATAAGAAAGGCAGCACAAAGGGGTGTCATGATTTCAGAGAAGCAGGGCCCATACTCACTTGGCAGAGACGGGGTCTGTGGTTAAAACCCATCCTTTATAGTCCTTCTCACTCGCTGTCACTCTGACTTCTTTGTAAGTGTAATCTTGCCATTCTAAGGGCCCTCTCTTCGTCCATTCATTCACGGCTGCCATCTGGCTAGATCTAAAACCACCACCAGTTCGGGTTAATACATGTTCCACGCCAGCAAATCCCTAATCTCACCCTAGACGTAAAGAAATCCTGCCATTTGCCTCAAGATCCATATCAGAAAAACAGTTAAAACAGTATTTACTCTTCGGTCTGAAAGCCGCCGCGGGGCCGCCTGGGTAACATCGGGCCTCCTCCTAGTCCACCCATCCCGGTCCAGGTCGCCGCCTCGCGGGCTCTCAACGCCCGTCTGTGGAGGCGCAAGCCCTTCAACTCTGCTCTCCTCCCCCCGGAGGAGCTCGCTCCACGCCACTTTCCGCCAAAAGCTGAAAAGGGAAACTCGGCTAGGCACCCACTCGCTCGCTGGCTGTGTCTGCAGGATCTCTCCGGCCCGGGATTGGTCACAACGTCCTCGGAACATCTATCTGTTCGGAGGCTGCAGAGCTCAGACTCCTGGCCTCTCCTGCAGCCGCATGGTACCTAGGGCCGTCCTCAAGCCAGGTGGTCCTTAACGTCTAACCCTCAAAAACGAGACAAATACCGGTTAAAACTGTGGGCAGCGCCCAGGACTCAGCAACCACGTTAAGAGGAAGGAGTCTCTTCCCGAGCGGAGCCCGCCGGGGCCCGGCATGCTTTGCGCCGTGTCGTCACTTCCTCCCCCCAGAAGTCTCTGTTTTGTAGTCCCTGGTTGTTCTCAAACCTAGAGGTCTGAGAGCCGCGGCCCCCGATTGCTGGAGGCTGGGTGCAGGGTGTGGGCAGGGGCTGAGATATTTTTTGTGTAATAATAATAAGCCTTCTTATTCGCTGGGGCCATCCCTCTCCACTGCCACGGTGGATATTTCAAAAAAAATTTTTTTAAAGAGGAAAGTGCTCGTGCCAGGTCCTCGTTGATAGTAGAAATGGAATTCCTCCACTTTGCCATGGATTCAAAGCACATGGACCCTCCAGGTAAATCCTAAAGCTCTGGGCGTGTGAAGTGAAAGTGCCTTGGACGAAAGCGGCAGAGCCGAGGCATTTCTTGTCTGCTCTGTGTAAGGCCGTTAAGGCGCCTGCTCCTTTGGGGTCTGTCTTCGGTGCAGTCCTGCAGGAGGTGCAGAAGCTGGAGAGAAAAGCACGGGGTTTGGTTGAATGTCATCTAGCCAGAAACTCGCTACAAACGCCCCCGCACCCAAGTGGAAAAGTGCAAAAGACGAGTGCCAACCACAGGTTTCTGGACGCGTACCTCGTTGGCTCCTGGTTGGATCCTGGAAAGTGATACAAGGTGAACACTAAAACTGAATTAGAGGACTGTTAAACCACGATGTAGCCCAGCCACGTGGCTCAGTGGTTGAGCTAGTGTGAACCAGGAGATCACTGTTTGATTCTGATCAGGGCACAAGCCCGATTATGGGCTGGATCCCTTGTAGGGGGGCGGGCGTGCAAGGGGCAGCTAATCAATTATTCTCTCTCGTCATTGATGTTTCTCTCCCTCTCCCTTCCTCTCTGAAATCAATAAGAATTTTTAAAAAACACACACATACACAGTGTAGAAAACATTGAAAATTAACCAGCTTGGCTTAAGTTACCCCTTTTAAAGTGGAGACAGAGCAATTTCTTTCCCTTCTCTCCATTATCCCATTAGTTTCCTAAGGAAAGGCTCATTCTCAGCATCCCTGATGCAAGTTCTCAGTAGGACCCTCTTCTGTAGTCTGTACTGACTGAGATGAGATGGTACACGTACTTTCCCCAGCCCACCTTCCACCTGGCGTGTCCCTCATACCAGTTGGTGTCCCTTCTCTCTCATTCTCTCCTTTTCTCCCTCTTCCCAGTCCCTCTCCCTCCATCTCCTTCCTAAGGTCTGTCTCCCCTCAAACCTTCACACACACACTCCCTTCCTCTGCCAATACCAAAATGACTTATTTTAGATTGTGGAGTATATTTATTTTAATTTTAGCAAGAAATATTTCTTGCCCAGCCGGGTGTAGCTCAGCAGTTGAGCTTTGACCCAGGAACCAAGATACCACTGGTTTGATTCCCAGTCAGGGCATATGCCCAGGTTGCGGGCTCCATCCCCAGTGTGGTTTGTACAGGAGGCAGCTGATCAATGATTCTCTCTTGTTATTGATGTTTCTATCTCTCTCTCCCTTTTACTTCCTCCCTGAAATCAATAAAAATGTTTTTTTAAAAAAATATTTTTTAAAGAAAAGTTTCCTAAATGCCTTGAGAAGTTTAAAAATTGTCAGTAGTCTTATATTGTTCACTCTTCTTTATCATGGTGCAAAGATAACCCTGACCTGCCATGGCTGAACTGTCACAAATTTCAATTCATTGTTGGGTGGTCTTAAAAGTAGGTAAAAAATGAAGTGGGAATGGGATGGTAATCTACCATATTTTCCATGCAAGGTAAGGGCAGAAAAAAATAACCCCAGTCATTTTGACCCAAGACTTTTTAATGTTCTGGCTTTTTCATTTATTCAGCAAGTAGAACCTGTTAGAAACATCTATTTGTTGTTGTTAATCTTTACCTGAGGATATTTTTCCCATTGATTTTTAGAGAGAGTGGAAGGGAGAGGAAGAGACAGAGAAAAGCATCAATGTGAGAGACACATCAATTGGTTGCCTCCACACGAGGCAGGGGATCAAACCCAGGTATGTGTCCTTGACTGGAAAACGAACCTCGACCCTTTGGTAGGTAAGCCAGCAGTCTAACCACTGAGCAACCGGCTAGGGCTACAGTGGGTTCTTTTGAGCCACTTTAATCTTGTTCCTGTGCACTCACACTGGCTTTAGGACTTTGGAAGTCATTTGCCTTCTTAGAGTTCTTATCTATAAGCTAAATGTGGGATTAGATGGCCCAATATCCTCTCAGCTCTAAAGTTTCATGACTAAGACACAAGCCCTGTAAACCCTCTAAGCTAGCGGTTCTCAACCTGTGGGTCGAGACCTGCTCCTGCTCCTGCTCCTGAAGTTCAAAAGAAGCAAGTGTCCTTAAATCTCAGCTTCTTTCTTTCTTTTGCTGGATGGGTGGGTGGTTTGGTTATTCTGATGCAGATGTGAGTGCTGTTGTAATAAAATGAATTTCCTTTTTGTCCATTGGCAAAAAAAAAAAAAAATCAGGTTGAGAACCGCTGATCTAGAGCATTGCCTAATATTAGTAGGTGGTGCCCAGTTTGAATTGAATTCTTATTTCTTAATCAGTTATATAGCACCTAACATGTGCCAGCCATTATTTTAATAACTTTCAAACATGAACTCATTTTATATGAGTGAATAAACCAAAGAGAATGTGAAAAATTTGAGTGATGCAATGACATAATGAAATTGGTATGTTAGAAGGATACTGAGAAATTGGATGTGGGGGAAAATAGGGACATATAGAGCACATACAGCATGAAACTGTGTAAAATGTAGCCTCTCTACTCAGCAAAGCAGTGGTATTATTAGGTGTATGTGGGAGGGGGACGGGGGGAGATTCCAGAACCACTTTTCAGTTGGAATTCCAGTTTACGGGAGGCAGTATCTCCAAATGAATTTGTTATCAGGCCTCCCCAACCTTGCCCAGAGGGGAGATTTTATAACCTCAGAGCGGGAAGATGATTTTCCCTGGCGGTAGAATGAAGATAGGACTTCCCTAAGATGAAAGTGCTTTGAACAGGCTTTGTGAACTCTAATATACTAAACAAATGTACCATGTGAAAGTTTAGAACGCTGCTACTTTGTACGCCTTCAAATATGCCCAGGTAATATCGTATGGCTAAAAATCAGTGCCATTTTTTTTCATTGATTTCTTCTTATTCAATGAGGTAACCAGTCTCAGTAGTAAGAATATAGATTTTACATAATTTTATTTTGAATTGAAAAAAACAAAGTGGGATTAACTTTTTATTTTTCCCTGCAATTGTTTTGAAATAAAAAAAGGATATCCAACCCTAGCTGGTTTGGCCCAGTGGATAAAGTGTCGACCTGTGGACCAAAGGGTCCTGGGTCCAATTCCGATCAAGGACACCTACATATGTTGCAGGCTCCTCCCTGGCCCAGGCCCTGGTCAGGGGGGGCCCGTGCAGGAGACAACCGATTGATGTGTTTCTCTCACTTTGATGTTTCTCTTTTTCTTTCCCTCTCTCTTCCACTCTCTCTAAAAATCAATGGAAAAATATGCTAAGTGAGGATTAAAAGGAAAAAGAAAAAAGGATATCCACTACTGAGTTCCTAAAATTATAAAGAAATTTAACACTGTACAGATATTAAACCTGGGCCAGTTCAAGGCCGGAACCTGGGCTGTGGGTAGCAATTTCACCAAGGAAAATCAATCACAAGATTTCCTGTTAGATCTGCAGTCTTTTCCAAGTGATTCCTTATTCTCATTGTTGCCTTGTCACCTTTTCAGTTGTGCCCCTCGGATACTATTTTGTAGCCTACTGTTATTTACATATGTGTTGGGGCAATAACTTCTGGTCGGTTAATTTAACAATCCTTTCCCACAACCTCCTGATTAATGAGGCCTGACTGCTAAAACTCATTCTGTTTCCTTTGTAGGCAGAAGTGACCATAGAAATATTTCAGGCCAATGAGATACACATGGGCATTCCTAGGAAGGCTGTCTCTTCTGAAATAAAAAAAAAGCAAAAGCCTCCTAAGGAAAACAAATCCTTTCTTGTCCCTTCACCATTTCTGCTCCGGTCTGCCTGGCTTGGACATAGGCCTGGAGGGGAGGCAACCTCGTTCCACCATGAGGAAACATGCACTGTCTCCTGTAGAGAAGGCCTTATGCCAAGCAGAAAAATACAAGCTAAAAAGAGCCAAACCAGACCTATTTCAGGTTTCTTTTGTTTGGGATGAATAAACTCCTGTCGGTTTAAGCAGCTGCTTTCAGTGTTTCCACTCCCAACAAAATATTTTCCTAACTTGTCTCCCAGGAAGGTCCTCAGGAGAGAGACCATGCTTTATCTTTATGTCCTCAGCACTCTGCTCAGTGCCTGCGCATAGCAGGCATTCAACAGATACTTGTTTAACGCAGTAATAAATTTTCTATTCATTGTTAGAAATTGGGGCAGAACACAAAATCATAATTTAGGCAGGGAGTTACTTATTTCATAAGTGACCAAGATAAAATAAGAACAGAAACAGCAAAAAATGAAAAGAAAAAAAGAAAAGAAAAAGCAAATAACCAATAAATGTTAGATTGGCAAAGCAGGTAACAAAGGAACTTTTGCTTTTTCCAAGAAAATAATTTAAATTCTCTTCACTGAGGAGCAATGTATTATTATTCTTATTGATAATAAATGTATATTAACTCAGTCTTAACACAAGAAAACCATGAGATAGGAACTATTATTATCCCAATTTTACAGCTAAGGAACTGAGACCCAGGAGGCCCAGGGCCACACAACTAGTTATTGAAACTGCTAGGATACAAATCTAGGCAATCAGACCAGGGCCTGCCCTCTTAACCACTCTCTGGTCCCATGGGGGGCAGTTGGGGGCAAGCAGGCAGGTGTGGGGGGCAGTTAGGGGCAAGCAGGCCGATGTGGGGGGCAGTTAGGGGCAAGCAGGCCAGTGTGGGGGACAGTTAGGGGCAGGCAGGCAGGCAGGCAGGTGAGCAGTTAGGAGCCAGCAGTCCCGGATTGTGAGAGGGTGCAGTCCGGGCTGAGG